TCATTTTATATAATTTCACTTTTGCACTGCATTTGATGGACAACATAGTTTGTTCAGTTTTATGTATCCCACACTGTGTTGTTGTGTGCTGCTGTCTCCAACTTAGGGCAACCCCATGAATGAAAGTCATCCAAAATGTCCAGGACAGCTCCATTCAGCTCTTCCACGTTCCAGGCTGCAGCTGCCTTTAGGGATTCAGTTTGTCTCATATTTGGTCGTCCCTTCTTCCAGGCAATCTGCCTTAGTATGATTGCCTTCTCCAGTCAGTCTTGCCTTCTGTCATGTGTGCAGGTTCTGGCACACTTCCAGAGCCACACACGAGAGGCTGACCATTCTGGGCAAACAGACAGCACAGAATCCGAGGAGGAGGAGGAGGAGGCTGGCCTCTTTGGCAGGACTGACAGCTCAGGCTCTGATAATGAGATGGTCGTTGAAACAGAATCAGCTCCAGCTGCTGTCCAAGCCCTGCTGCACCCACCTGTGCCTGCTAGGGGAGAGATTAGTGCCAGGGCAGCCGAGGGACCCAGTCAACCCACCAGTGGGAATGAGGAAGAGCAACATCTGAGGGAGGAGATTCAGAGATGGGGAAGGTCTGAGCAGGTGGACCCAATAGTCTGCCATCACAGCGTAGGTGGCCCGATGGGTCTCTGGGGAAGGAGCACAGGTGTGCCTGATTCCATAGTGCTCCTAGCACCAGGGACAGGTGCAGAAGTATCCATAAGCAAAGCTTTGGGTAAAGAATACTGGAGTGGGTTCAACATTTTGCTTTGCATATGCTCAGAGACGTGTGTGTAAAATAAAGACCCTTGGCAAAGGGCAGCCGGTGAGATTATTGCTACTGGGAGGGAGAAGCACGGCTCACAACACCTTCTCATGAGGTGCCCAAAGCAAGACAGCCTCCGTTTTGTCATTTTTGCTCCTAGGCAAAGCACACCGGTCTGGCTTTTATAAGGAGGCAGTAAAAAACTAGACAGGCAGGTAGGAAGACTATCAGATTTGGCTCCTACAAAGCCGAGGGTGTGGAGGGTTGATGGGAGAGGAAAGGAGAGCGATTGCAAACTCTAGCTGGCAACAGCATGTATCTTGGTTGTTTTGACCAAGAAGTTAGCCTGGCACAGAAACTTCTATAGGAAAGTGTCCAATGGCAAACTGTCTCTCTGTCTGTTGCTGCAAGCAGCCTTTGTTGGTTGGTTCTGATGTTAGCAAGGTACAAACTGAGAGAAAACCATTCCACAGGTGATTTGAGAATAATGGGGCAAACGTTGTTTGGCCATCCATTGATTTGCAGTCACAGAATTTGTACACGTACATTTATGAGTACTGGCATTAGTGAAATTTACATTCCCAGAAGTTTTGCTTCCTCCCAAAACTCACAAATCTTCTCAAAATGTATATGTTCATGCTTGACCTCTGGGGGCTTTTTGCATTTTTGATTAGTACATTTGACTTTGTGCAAAAGTGCACAGGATTTTCCAAAATAATCTGCAAGCCCCATGGACTCTGTGTGACCTGGGAAAGACTGTCTTCTGCAGAATTCACAGGGCAAGCTCAGCAAAATCTTGACTTCTTTGAGACTTCTTTGTGAATTTCTCCAGCACCTCTAACCCTGGTGCCCTGGCTGAATTCCACCCTTGGCCCTAAGCCCCTTGTGGAAAACAAAGCACGGTCTTCAGTAAAGTCGGACATCTGGTCATCCTGCTTGTGGGTTTGAACCCTGGTACACAAGCAACTAGCTACTGATTTATCCACTACTGTGATCAGGTTTGATTTGCTGCAGGAAAGACTCTCTTGTTGTTGTTGTTAGTCATGAAGTCATGTCCGACCCATCGCAACCCCATGGACAACCTTCCTCCAGGTCTTCCTGTCTTCCACCATCCCCCGGAGTCCACAAGCTCACACCAACTGCTTCAGTGACTCCATCCAGCCACCTCATCCTCTGCCGTCCCCTTCTTCTTTTGCCATCTATTGTTCCCAGCATTAGGCTCTTCTCCAGGGAGTCCTTCCTTCTCAA